CCAGATGCTCCAATTATACTTTCATTAACAGAAGTGAGAAGGAGACATCCAACTGGTATTTTTAAAATCATCACTTTAAAAGTCAAAAATATCACTCGGTGTGTTTCAGAAGAGATTCTTCCAGGACATTAAATGCTACAATAACACAAGTCATAAAAACCTATACATTTTAAGTTCTCCTGTCTGGCAACAGTGTCAAGATATTTTTTACATGAGCTTTAAACCAATGTTTGTAAGGAGACAGAAATGCCTTTTCATAGTTACTTTTTCTGAGCTGTGTCCTCATATTCACCCCAGAGCATCCAGGACCAGGATTATCCAGATGCAGACAGTTCTCCCCCACACAAAAAAAAAAAAGGTGAGGTGTCTCACACCAGCCACTGTCCTCACATACCACTACACTAAATAGGCTTAGGGAAAAGAAGTTGCTCAAAAATGTAAGTAGAGATGAAGGAGCTGGCTCCTCCAGAGAGTATTGTCAGACTGAGGCCCAAACAAGCATGATCTTAAAAGCTTTTCTTCTTCTGGTAAGAGTATGTAGGCAGCGAGCCCTCTCCCCTTTCCCAAAGAGAAGTACTCCATCTAAAGAAATGGTCATATTTAAAATTATACTTTCAGATATTTCACAGGACAGCTCTTTTTATATATATATAAAAGTATATATAAGAACTATATGTAGGTTAACATTTAATCTCACTTTCATTTAGTGATTTTCTTTTCTGTATTTGAAGTCATCTTCTACAAAGCAAACTGCACTTTATGAGATAGGAGAGGATTTTGCTGCATCACATTATGAAGCATAAAAAGTTACTTCCTATAGTAAGATAGTCTGATTTTTAACTTTAGATGCCAAAAAAAAAAAAAAAAAAAAAAAGCTAATTTCCAAAAGAGTTTGCTTGTCTAAAGCATGAGTTTCAGGGCCTGAAAACAACATGGTGAGAACAAAACCCCTATAAGCTTTGATCTACTTATACATGCATTTTAGGAGTCTGTACATTCACTACTGGACCAAAAAAAGAACACACAGGTCAAAATAAACTCTCACGAATAGTAAGAAATATGAATAAATGAAACAGCAGCAGTAGCACTATACATATCAACTTTAAACCACTATCATATTACGGTTGGATGCAGTATTGATGGAGCTATCCTAGAAGTGTGGTGGATTTAAGAGTCTGTACTCAAATTGAAACTACGGGGTTTTGTCTCCTTGCTGCATAGTTTTTATCAACAGAAAATGTGCACCTAAATGCATTATCAAATGCCTAAAACTTAGAAAAAAGAACACTAAAACGACAGCAAAGACAGTTTAAAATTACTAAGGACTATGGCAATGTCAAACCATTAACTGTCAATATCAATAGACCTGGGTTAGCTTTACTGTCTCTTTAGTGAGTGTAACACAGATGTTCAGAGCACTCCTTCGGACTTTTTTCTCATACCCATTTGAAGAACAACAGTGCTTCCTTCCCTTCCCCCCCAGCATCCGTAAGCCAGTTTAGAGCTCAAGTAAGGTATTGGTATGAACTCAAACACCATAGGGGTACCCGCCCTCTCCACCTTAACCCCCATACCCAGAGGATGCCATGGGGAGGCAGCCCCGAAGCAAACCCCTGGCAGCCAGCCCCATCCTCACCCAAGCAACAGGCCACGCCCACTCTCCCACGCAGCTCTATGCTCTGATCACCCCTACACAGACACGAGCACTGCAACCCCAACTGGCTGCCGGCTCACAGAGGGCTGTAACTTTGCACTTGCTAAAGGGAATTCCGAGCTGACCTAGAGGAAGATGGGGATGGCTTAGCTGACGGTAAACTCTCCAATGATTGACAAGCCAAGACCACCCTTATTCAGGCCAATATGGCATCCCCTTTATATTTTTCACATTGAAAGCCTAGTAAAAAATATATTTTGTACATCTTTTATACCTGTGCCCATAAAGTAAGGACAGAGTACTTTTTGATTGTGATCCCAACACCTTCCAAGGACTTGAGCAAGAGAGGATTGCTCACCCAAAGCATCTGCAAGCAAGCAGGCACACACAGAGGAAGTTAAGCCCTCACACCTATTGCCTTGGTATAAGCACAAACTTATTACACATCTCACTTGAGTTGGTCTTCTCTACTCAAAAGTACCCATTTCTCTGCTACAAGAGTGATTCTGGCCTTTTTCTGCCTCTCCCTCTACCTATCCAACATCCATTCATTCATTCATTCATTCATTCATTCCAACAGTTAGAATAAGTCTTTACTCCCAGAGCAGTTCGTCTGGGTTGGGTATTTTTTTTTTGTTGCTTTTTTAGGATTGTAGAATATTAACCTATATCCAAAGAAATACAAAAACATAAGGAATAGCAGAAAGCACAGTGGGACAGAACCCTCCAAAATGCAAACCTATGTAAATGCTCTTTCAAATGTTTATACAAGTTAATACTAGCCTTGACTGAGTCACTGGGATTGAAGAGGCTTTTTCTGTTTTCAAATTAAGCAACAGTCTATTTTTTACAGTGATACAGGTAACATTGAATAGAGCAGTCAAAATTTTTTAATTCCATAGCAGATACCTTTGTAATATTGTCAAGTATTTTGGTGTTCCAGAAACATACTAAGTAGCAGATTGCCTGCAAGTTTCAAAGAGCTGGTTTACAAGCTCCCCCCCAACCAACATACACACACCAATACTACAATTTCTAAGACCTGTAATACACATAAAAATTGAACTAATAAAGCATTGCAATTTTGTTACTCAGTTCTGAACCTAGTAACAGAAGATACACGTTATTACTCTAGCGTATGTCACAAAATACTTTTATTTCCTTAGGCATCCAATGCTAATTGTTTTCTGCTCCTTTTAAATATACACATAAAACCAATACCTAAGATAAACCAATTAAGTTGCACTGAGGAGTAAGAGACAGAGGTTGTCAAATCAAATTCTTTCTGGAGCCTACTAAGTGACTTACAGGAAACATGGAATTCCTTTCTTTTATTTCTCCTAACACCCTGCAGCCCCAGCTTTCTCCCTTTGCCCCTTCCAGTTTCTCTTCTTTCAGAGGTCTGAGTACTTTCCCTCCTGTCCTCTCCATCCTATCAAACTATTCCACTTTGTTCCCGTACCAGAATCACACTCCCCTGGACATCAGAATTCCTTCACTTTGCTTCTCCTCCAACAGCTTTGGGGACAAGTCACTCTGGAGACCTGTATATCACTTTTCTGGAAGGAGAACCAATTAGAGAGGCATCCTTGTGCCAGAAGGCATTAACAGGGGCAACAGCTACTTAAGCTGCAAGCAGTTTCACAACTACCTGCACAAAGTAGAGAGCAAGCTTTTTTGCCTCCCCAGCTTTTCTTGAAGGGATAAAAGTGGAGAAATGGGTAGGAGAAATGGCACAACAGACCCAAACCCAAGCAACTGCCACTAGAATATTCACAGAAGTTTCAGAAGTTATGATGATGGAGTGCTCTAATATTAACACACAAGACTAGCAGAAATAGCACAGCACCTTTTAGACAGTGTTAACAGAAGTTTAAGTAGTACCACCCATTGTGTAAACATTAAAAAAAAAGTCACCTGGAGTTGTTTAAGCTTAAGCACTGTGAAAGAACAAGTAAGAATCAGATCTAAGAACTTCAGCAGTTATGAAACTTTCCTTCTACAAGCGTGAAACACATCAGATTCAAGCTCATCCTACTTTACTCAACAGCACCTCACAAATGCTATAGGCAAACCACTAAGTCAGATCACTGTAGAGTTTCTCAGTGAATGCTAGTTTATTATTTGAACTGGACAGATGTTAAAGATAGGCACATAATTTGGTTGGAAAGCTCTTCCTCTTTTAGTTGCAGTTTTCATATTCTTAATTCAGGAGCTCTTTGTTAGTTTTTTTTAAAGGTTTAAGTGTGAAACACCTTCAAAGGAGTCCGTTTCTCTGCATTCTCTTTACAACTGAGCTTTGAAACACAGTATTTCAGACCCAACTCAGTACTCATAATATCACACACATTAGAACTCTGGTAGCTGCCAGTCGTTATAACAAGCCTTTATGCGAGACCTGACAGCTTAGAATTATGAATTAAGAGTGCTTATTCAATATATTCAAATTTACAGATCACTTATTAAGCAGGAAATCACATTTTCCCAAAGGAAAAAATTCTAAATGGCATCAGCTCCCTCCCTCTTCCCTTACATGATAAAGTTTGTCTAAGAAAGTCTATCTAAGAAAGCAAGTAACAACGAACCAACTGAAAGTGCAGCAGAGGCACTCTGCTGTAAAACATGCTTAGATGTACGAGACAGCAACATTAAGCAGACCCTCTTTACACTAAACACCCCACTTCATTAAACAAAACAAACAAGCTGTGAAGGAACAGCTTCACCCTTTCATCTGGAGGTATTAACACGGAGTAACGTTGCTCCAGTACAACCGAGACAGCTGCCGGGGATCATGTTTCTAAAGTAAGCTGCAGCCCCGTGCAGTTTCTCCTGTTCTAGTCCTCCAAGACCCAAGTATTTTACTTTCGAGACGGCCCGCCAAACCCCAGTAAAGGATTCCCAACACACAGTCCGGGTTTGTCCCACGCTCCACGCCCGATCTCCCTGCCCCTCCCCGGCTGGAGGAGCCCCGCGCTGGGCGCGCCCTGCGGCCACCGTGGACCAACCATTCCGAAGCCGCTGCCGCTGCGGAGCGTACACACTGCTCGCGACACGGAGACGAAGCCGGCTCCAGCCCCGCGGGTCCCAGTTGGGCTCCTGGCAACGCGCGCCTGCCCCTCCAACCCCGTTCCCGCCGGGTACGATCGCACCCTCAGCCAAACCGCGCCTCGAGGGAGAAGAGGCGGAGCCAGCCCTACGGCGGAGAACGCGCGGGGAGCCGCGGCCGACTGGCGGTATGGGGGGTAGGCCCGTTCGGGCGGGAAAGCGGGCCCGAGGCCGCCGAAAAGCCGAGGGAGCACGGGTGGGGGTCGAGACCCCAGCGCAGGGTCGGGACGGCGCTGCTCACCCGTCCGGCGGCAGCGCCGCGGTTCCTGGCGCCGAGAGGCGTGGGCTCCCGCTCCTCGTCACTGGAGAAGTCGGGTTGCGCGGCGGCGGGCGGGTTGCGGGCGGTGAGGTGCTGCAGGTAGAGCTGCACATACACGTCCTTGCGCTGCTCGCCGCCCGGCAGGCTCACATTGTTCGCGATTAGCTCGCTCTTCAGCTTCTCCTTGGTCAGCACCGACGGATCCGCCAGGAATTCAGGCATCGCCGCCGGCCACCACCGCCACCGCCACCCTCCCGGGAGAGGCACCAACAAAGCGCGGGGAGAGGGAAAAGGGGTGGAGGAGAAAAGAGAGGGAGGAGAGAGCGGAGGAGGAGGACTCGCCTGCCCCACGCCAAGGAACCCAGCTCCCTAACGGGCAAGCGCGCGCACGGAGGGCTTCTTTCAGCCAGCAACAAACCGCGCCCCGATTGGCAGAAAGGAGAACGAAACCGCCCTGTTATTGGCTGCCAGGAGGAATAGGAAAGAGGCGCGCGAGACCCACCAGCGTTAGTGCTTTGCGCGCGCAAGGGATAGTAACGCAGTTTAAATTCGGCTCAGGCGGGAGACGTGCGGGGGGAGTTGTGTGTGTCGTTTTGGGGCGGTGGCGATCACCGATCACCGATCACGGCAATTCTTTTCTAATCCGTATGGGTCTCTGCGGCTGCTCCATGCCGCCCTTCCCCGGCTACACAGGCTATTTCCCTCTGCTGGGAGAAGGGATGGGGGCGGTTACGGCCCCCCGTGAAGGAAATCCCTGTACCCTGCTGAGATCCCTGTGACCTGCTGTGACACCTGCTCCTCGGCACCGGCTTTGCTTTGGTGTGCTGAGGCGGCTGGCCCACGGATACCCGAGTTCTCTGCCGGGGTAACAGGACGTGCTGCTCTTGCTAGCCAAGCGCTTAGCTTCGCTCAGCGTGGTAGCTGTCCGGCTGCAGAAGAAACCCAACCGGGAAGCTGGTAGCTAAGCTGTCAGTGTAACTGCTGCCGTTGTGATGACTTGCATGTTACACAAATAATAATAACAAAAAAAAAATGCTTCTGTAGCATTTCAAGATTTGAAAGGTGCATAGAGTTTTAAGGCTGCATGGGAGTTAAACCTGTGTTTACGCGCTCGTGGCTGGAAACACACTGCTCTCAATTTTCCTGTATTTTATGATTGGAACAGTTTAGTATTTAGATCTGACTACATATCCTATGCTTTTGAGAGCTACCTTACAGGATCAGAGATAAGAATTGAAATGTGAGTATTTACATTTGTCCATCAATTGTTGACATACAACAGGAGTGGTAGTGTTTGTGCCTGCACCTCTTTATGTTTCAGAAAGTGTTTTACACTGCTGTCGACGAAAGTGATTCCCCCGGTTTAGGTTTGCTCCACCACAAAGTGTGGTGGCTGTCATTTCGGTTTACCCGGCCAGCGAGGTGAAGGTGCTGAGGGTTATTTTTGTGGAAGGTAATTTTGAGGTAAATCAAAGACCCATGGACAAGAAGCCTGACACTTCCAATGGAGGAATTGGTGTGGTGTAACAAAGTAATTAATATAAGGGAGACGCTTGGCTTGGCCTGTTTAGTTTACTTTGTAGTGCAAATAGTCAGCCATCATATGCAGTTCATTATACTTTGTATCTGAAAGTATTTGGCTCTTGGTGTTGCATATACTTTACCTGTTTAGTCTTAGACAACAAGGCTGAATGGTGGGTAGAAACATCTTCCTTCCATTGATAGCATACATGCATACACAGCAAATATTCATGTACCAATGTGGATTGATTACTATCACTTACTTTTAAACCTGAATCGAACAAATAATGTGGTTCTGTTTATTTTTCAGCATATCTTACCACATTTTTCCTTGAACATGGGTATCACAAGTGTTTTGGAAATGCTTAAAGAAAATCAAATTAATTTCCAAATTTCATAGTAATAATTTAGATAAGAGTAGATAGTATGTTTCACCTTCTTGGTGACTATAAAATAGATCTTTTGCCCACATTTAAGAATTTACATCTTGCTCAGATACGAAACCAGTTGCAGACTGACATGGCGTTTAAAAAGTTTAAATAGTTTAATAGCTTAAACTATAAACAGGTAAAACTACCTTTCAGTTTAAACTAGAAACAGGTTTTTATATAAACATAGTTTAAATAGCTTAAACATAGTTAAAAAATAGTTTTAAAAGTCAAAATTTGCAGCTTAAGCTTTATTATTATTTTAAATATATATTGTGAACAAGAACTTAAAGAGAAATGGGAGATTATGAATAAATAATAAGGTGTATAGGTGTACAGGCAAAATACAGCAGTCCATATAGCTAAGAACTCAGTTGTACAGTAAAAAGAAAGGGTATAAAAATGTAGATGACTAAAGCAATATGTGTGCAGAGGAATAATAATCTACCATGAATTAAAATATGCTAGTTTTGGGGACTAAATTGCTTTTACTACTCTAGAAAGTTGCTTTTACTACTATAGTAGTAAATTACTAAACTGCTTTTACTACTTTAGAAAGCAGCAGAGATTCTTCAGCTATCACACTAATGTGAAAAATAATAACCTCAGTTCATAGAATTGTATCACAGAATCACAGAATTGTTTGGGTTGGAAGGGACCTTAATGCTCACCTACTTCCAACACCCTGCTACAGGCAGGGACACCTTCCACTAGACCAGGTTGCTCAAAGCCCCATCCTCCCTGGCCTTGAACGCTGCCTAAGAAGGGATAGCCGCAGCTTCTCTGGGCAACCAGTTCCAGTGTCTCACCACCCTCACAGTACAGAATTTCTTCCTAATGTCTAATATGAATCTACCCTCTTTCAGTTTAAAGCAATTCCCCCTTGTCCTGTCACTACATGCCTTTGTAAAAAATCCCTCTCCAGCTTTCTTGTGGGCCCACCTTAGATACTGGAAGATTGCTACAAGATCTCCCTGGAGCCTTCTCTTCACCAGACTGAACAACCCCGTAAGTCCATAAAAAATCCTCAACACAAAATAGTCCTTTATATTCCCTGGTTCTACCTTTTTTTGTTCTCACATCTTGGGTACAACAGGCTTTCTCCAGGCAAGGTACAGACAGGGAAGTAATATGAGAAAGCACCAAAATGTGCATGTACTTAAATAACTATTAACACTGCAACCTGCAGTTATCACCAGAGTTAAACCTTAGACAATTAGCTGAAGATTTACACCTTTATTGTTTGCTTTGAAGTAAAGAAAGGTTGCATTTTGCAGCATAAGGCAGCAGTCAAAGGGGATAAGGGAGTGAGCTTTTTATGAACAACGTTGAAAGATCTTTTTTTTTTACCAAAAAAAACCAAATCCATGAGGTGATCCATATGCCAATATGATGATTAGTGTCTTAGAGGTTTTGCTGTGCCTTCCGTGAAGCATTCCAGTATTTAAATGTTTATTCCTAACAACAAGTTCTGGTTTTCAAAGACCAGAATACCAGCCTTTACTTGAGAAACAGGTAGTCATATTTTACCTCTTGTCAGTAAAAATGGTGACAAAAGGAAAGTTTAGGAAAAAAGTGCAAATAGTGTTAAACTATGCCTATTTTCAGTGATTGAAAAACTGCCATACGCTTGCCTAAAATATGAAATATGCTGAAGTTTGAAGCCAAAAATCCTTCCTTTTTAGGACCCTCCCAGATATCTGGAATTTGTTCTCTTTTCTGAGCATGAGAAAGATTTTCAGTCATACAGTCTTCTTTTTCAGAAAAACACTGAATGTCTTCTGAACTATCTCAGTTGTCTAGATTTGGCTTCCCCCAAGTTTATGATTCCTAATCTCTAATGCCACCCAGAAAAATGAGACAGGTAGTTTATGTTGTGCCACACTGAAAAAATTAATTTTCTCTACTTCTGTGTTCAAAAATTATCCTAAATTCCATGGAGGGTTTAGAGAAAATTAGATGGCTTTTTAATAACTCTTTCTTATCCAGAACATCTTTTTTTAAGCATAATCCAAGTAGAAATGGCAAAACAGTAAGAAAAAAGCACATCTTACTCCAATGGAGCATATCACTTCTAGAGCAATTCCCTTATCTCTTGCTGAATTGGCCAGTGGGTATACTGGGGAACAGGGATGTATCAGGGGAACAGGCCGGGTAGCCCCTTGAGGGATGCTGCTGGATCTGCGTCACCCGACGTGGTAAAGACAGGTGGTTGCCCTTGCTGTGGACACAGGGTGCCCAGTGCTGCAGGTGGTCTGTACAACTGTCCCCACAGGGGCAGGGAGCTAAGGTGTATTTAATTCTTTTCTTTTAGTTTTGAAATGTCACTAGGTTATTTCAATTTAGGGACAGTAGGCTCTCCCTCCAAAGAACAACTGACAAAAAACTTAACTGAATGGTGGTGGTAGTCGTGGTGGTTGCCAAATCCTGCTCTCCCTCCTGTCCCAGGCCATGCACCCGGGATGCTTTCCTTGTGCTGGATCTCCTAGGCGTGCCACGAGATCTGCATGCTGAGCCAGCAGTTGCCACTGCACAGTTGCACAACATGATCCAAGTGGAGTGGGGGAAGCAGGCAGGCAGGAACGGGCAGGGCTGAGCCAGACCAACTGCTTCATGACACCCTGCACCTGCATTAAACAAGGTCTGTTGGTGTGAAACCACACACTGAGAACTTCGACTCCCATTAATAGATGTTCTGTATTATCAGGAGATGGACCCTCACTGCAGGCCAAAGATGCTGTCTGGCAGCAATCTGGAATGCTCAAGCCATGCACCTGCTCTGGCTGCGGACAGGAGTGTGAGCAGATTGCCACCGATTCTTACATCCAGCTCTCTGAGGGACCACAGGGCACAGGCATCAGGTATTTGGTAGGATGAGGGAATCTAATGGATTATCCATCCAGTACGAAATGCATCCATCTAACAGATCCTGATCAGAAAAAAAACAACAAGGACTACCCACAGAAATGGAAGTCCTGTCAGCATAGCATGTCAGGCAGTCCTCTGCTTGTTTTCAGACCTGGTAAAACCTGAGTCAGCTGAAATACTGTGACTAGTTCTGGGCACTTAAAAATGCAACACATTTGGAAAGACCCCAGAGGCAAGTAACACAAATCATCAGAGGCCCAGCAAATTCGGTCTGTTACCCTACAGCAGCTGCAGAGATGCATAGCAAATTTCAAATATGTAAGAAGTACCTATAAAAAGGAAAGGAATAAACTGTCCTCCAGTGCAATAGCACAAGGGCTGGATTTAAGTTACGTTGAAAGAGACATCAGGACTAAAATACACATAGCTGCTTCCTAACAGTTAGGACAGCAAAACACTGGAACAGAGCACTTAAGGAAAATACAGAATTTCTGTATTTGAGAGGTTTTACGGGTATATGGAACAAATATTAGCCTGTAAATCCCAAAGTCTTTATCTTGAAAACCCCACATAATTGGATGACTGCTGAGTCTGGTTTCCAGGACTTCTGTATTCTCTTAATTTTCTGCCATGGTTTACAACACTAACAATCAATTCTCCACATTTAGAATTATATCTCTGGAGTGTTTCTCTCCATGCGTCATATTCAGGCCTTTTGACAAACTGTCCTGTTTCCTTCCTAATTCGATTTCATTAAGTGTAAAACTTTCCAGTCCATCCAAATCACCAAAGTATTACTTCTAGGATTTGCTCTCATCTCTAGATCAAAATTTACTTTCTGTGCCTTTCTGCCTCTGGCACCTCAGCATGTGGGAATGGCTACTCTGAGAAGAAAACTCTTTCACAGCCTCAACCCATCACCCCCCGAAACGCGTCCCCTGGCACTCAATCCCCCTGCTCCCCTCTGCTTCCTGACAGGACTTGACCTCCCCGACCCCCTGTTTACAGTGCCTTTATTCCACTCCTCTTCATGTACACTGAAAACAGGTGGTTGGGGAGCTCAAGTCACTGAAAACCCCTGCCATTTTGGGGGTCCCATTTAAAACTTAAAGTTGCTGTTTTCATGCATCTTTCTGATCTGTCCTCATAATTTCCACCCAGTGGGTTGTCTTTGCAGAACTTTGACCTTTGACACATTCTTTGCCTTCCGTGTTTAAGTGTGATATTAGAAAACAACCCCGCGCCAGGATCCGCACCCCGTTTCCCGTCTCCAGCCGCGGAGAGGGCGTCGGGCCGCGCTGCGAGAAGCTGCGGTCCCACGGCGGGCAGAGCAGCACTGTACCCTGTTTCCGTTCCTCTCCAGGCACTGCTTCCCCCTCGGCACGTCCCCTGACCCGCTGCTGCCGAAATGTGAGCGCCAGACACTTTCCGAACACCTATTTCTGGCGTTTCTGTCCGCAGGCTACCTCGTCCGTGACACCGTTCAGACGGCCTCGATTTGTACTTCTGCCTCCCTCTCAGGGTCAAGCAAAAGGAGACCTACCCCGAGCTTTCGGGGGAAAGAAAAAGGGATGTCTCTCCGTTTCCTCCGAGATGAACCGGACAGTGGAGATGAAGAAAGAAAAATGAGATGACCCCGACGTGATTCGAACACGCAGCCTTCTGATCTGGAGTCAGACGCGCTACCGTTGCGCCACGAGGTCCTGCTGCGCAGGTATACACCGGGTTTCAGAACTCGCCCACTATTGGCAGCCTCCGCCCTTGGAGGGGCCAGCATCGGTAGCGAGACAGGGACAGAGCAGAAGGGTGGGGAGCGGACGAAGACCCTCTTCACCCGATATGGCAACCGTACCGATTAAACCCGCAAACCCGCACCGGCCCCTCTCCTCCAACACGGCTTCGTTTGTCTCCTTCCCGCACCAGTACGTTAACTCTACCCACCTGCACACCCGCTGCCGGGCCCTCTCAGCAGGGACCTGTCGGCCTCGCAACACGGCCTCCCGCTGCTCAGAGATCACTCCTTTTGGTAGCCTCCCTTCTTTGCCATTGGTGTATTGCAGATAAAGGCTCCCTCCGAGACGCCTAACTCAAGCCAGCTCCTCGTTAGTATAGTGGTGAGTATCCCCGCCTGTCACGCGGGAGACCGGGGTTCGATTCCCCGACGGGGAGAGGTAGTATGTTTTCCACCCGGGGGGGGTACTTGTTTTACTGGCTGGGGCCAGGGGCCAGCGGCCAGGCCTAGCGCGGCGGCCGCCGAACAAAGGTCTTGGAAACAAAAAGCGCGCTCGAGCGCGGCTCTCCCCGTCGGGGAATCGAACCCCGGTCTCCCGCGTGACAGGCGGGGATACTCACCACTATACTAACGAGGAGCCGCGGGGGTGTGGGGGCCATGCGCAGCCGCTCGGCGGGGAGCGGGACATGGAGCCCCAGCCCGGGCACCCCCTGCGCTGGTGCCCGGAGGGTTTTGGTGGACACTGCAATCTCCCCTGCCTTCACTTCCCTCCGTCCCGTTTGCTAGTCTGCCGAAGGTTATGGCACGTCCCGACCGCTTGGGCGATGTGCATTAGCGTCAAGGCGTGCATTGTGTCGTGCAGAGGCGGGGAAGCGAAGGGGCTGTGCCGGTGGTTGCCGACGTTCCACAGCTTATCCAGCAGCGGGAGACGGTGGGGAGAGGGCGGAAGAAGGGGAAAGGCTCCGCCATGGCTCGTGTTCGTTGTGGTTCTCCCCGGTGGGGAGCGGCATGCTGCCCCGTCTTTCCTGCTCCTCCCACCGCGGAGCGGACCGGGAGCGCTGCAGGGCGAAGAAAGAGCCAGAGGGCAGGCGGCGGGCAGGAGAGCAGGAGCTCGGGTGTCTTGGCGTTTGTATTTTTTGCCTGTCGTTCACGCAGTTTCTCTTGACGGGAACCCGAGAAGCCCTGGAGTCAGCAGTCCTTGGGGTGAAAAGACTCTAGCACCTGCTTCTTCCCTACCTAAAAAGGGGACGAGAAAAATGGAAACCGGTTACTTCGGGATCTGAGACTAAAAGGCAGAGGACATATACTGACCGTATGGCATCATACCAACTCGGTCAGCAGTAACATGGTTTTGTGAGTTTGTCATATTTCTTTGGGTATAAGGACCCCAGCGTAGTTTTTTCAGACAAGCATAGCTAAAGAACAAACAGCAATCTGTATGTAGACATCTAAATAGGCGTGACCTGGAAATAAAGCTTTTCTAAATACTGACCTGCTTGTTTAAGCACTTAAATATAAACATGTGTTTCCCAGTGGATGCAACAGGTTCAAATTTTGTCCTGACAAGTGAAAAATAATAATTAAAGTCTCATAATAATGTCGTTACTTTAGAGGTAGCATAATGAGATGAACTGGTAGGGCTGTGATCAGGTGATAGCCGTAAACCTCCCAAAGCAGGATCAAACCCCGTGTTGCTAGGCTGGTCTAAACTTGCTGTGTGGGTTCAGATTTTATTCAGCAGATGATGGTGGTTTACTTTCAGCTGGGAAACTGGTGGATCAAACACTGCCTGTTTGCATTTTGTGAGATGACTCACACATAACTCTACATCAGACTTTTTTAGCAGTCCCTTCTGAATTCCTTCTGTTCCTTGATCCCTGGGGTCAGGTATCAGAGACGTGACCGCTTGTGTTAAGTGGTGGTGCTTGCTGTCACCAGACCTTCCCTAGCTTCTGCTCTTTACCTCAGAGCTGGTTTTGCCTCAGGTTGCTGTACAGACATCTCCTTGGGCTGTCTTCTTTTGGAACTGTCTCCAGATCTTCTCTTCTGCTGTCTCCATACCATCTCTTGCAAATTTTTGGTATTGCTAAGCACTTTGACAACACCGGAGGCAGGCTCACAACAAGTTGTGTAGACATTTTGGTGTGTTAGGGGCTCAAACTGAGGAAAAATGGAAAAAGCTACAGAAGTGGTTTTGTCTCTTCTGCATTTTATTCAGTCGTCTGGGAAGCATCAGTAGGGGGAATGTGTTAAGCATAGGGCAAAATGTTGTTAGGGCGACTCCTTGCACCAGCAGTTTCCTCCTTGCTGTAGTTGCCACAATGATCCTGCTCTGAAAGAAATGAGATCAGTCCTTAGAACCAGCAGTTGCTGACAGGTAAGTTTTGTGAGCAGTAAGGCCCGTCTTCTTGCCAGGCTGTAAAATGGCACAAGTCATTTCAACTCAGTGACTGTAATTTTATATTGGGAGAGGGGCATGAGGTGGGGGAAGAGCCTTCTGTAGCTACAGAAATTAAGGCTTCGGGGTCAGTGTAAAACCACAAGCCCTAGATGAGAAACAAAGTACTTCACTGGTATGGTCTTTAGGATGCCCCAGCCCAGAAGAGCTGCTGCAATTGAATACATTTTATTCTGATTACTCTTTATAGCTATTTTGTACACTCTTGTTGCTGCCCATTTACACATATCCAACACTGTGTGCTCTGTGCTCTGTTTTCCATGTAATTTTTGTCTGTACGTTCACCCTGTGGAGTTCACAGCTCAGGATTTAATAAGCTTTGTAAGTAAGAATGTATGAGTTATCAGATGGCATATTTAATTACAGTACTTCTTTCTGTGTGAGTTTTGGCCTAACACAATTTCTGTTCAGTGTAATGGATTTGTTGCGTGGTCTGTATGACTCAGTTATCTCTTTCTGTGCTAATGTATTTTGATCAAGCTAAACCAAAGTTTTAGAAGTTATTAGAAAAATCAATTTATATCACTTGAGGGAATGAATGATCAGACATCCCATATAAAATCAACAGCTGAAGAAATTCAAGGTAAAGGGGACTGTGACATTCTATGTCACTGCCTGGTGGACTAGTGGGAGAAGGGACCTAAGGGGCTTTTCCCCCTGTTAGCATGCTTGGTATAGTTTACTAAATGCAGCCACACAGCTGGGCAGCTTTCTCTCCATGTTGCATCATGTGAACTTTTTAATAAATGGAGCTTTTTAAAAATCTGTTGGAGGAGTCTCAGGGATTGAAAGATTATGTCCTAAGAATTGTGAAATAAAATAGAGAAGTGCCTATGCAGAACCCCATTTCTGTTTAGGTAAAAAGCACCCTGATGAAAAAGTTGAATAGTTGAATATAACCATTTCTATTCCTATATCATGGTTTAAATCCAATGGATACTCTGAGTAAGAATAAACTCCTTCTCAGAGGGAATCTACATTCTGATCACTTTTCCCTTCAAAAGGGATTGCCAAGCAAATGTACTTGGAGAGATACCATGAAAAACAGGAAAATTCAAACCAGGAAAAGTGGAGGCTGGCTGGTTTTAAGGAAAAATTTGAACTTTAGAATAGCAAAATCTGAGAGATGTCTTGTCTAAAAATCAGAGGACAGGACCCAGTAATTAAAAGGAAGAAGATTGATCAAGTTGGTATGCAGAATACACTTATGGGGTGTATTGGTTTTGAGTAGTCCCAGAAGAGTGTTTATGCAGCAAAGCCTGTAGAGACATATTGGGACACTTCAAAACCCCAACAGGTTGTGTACTAATGTAAGTATTCCTATGTAATGCCGTTCTGGATACTAGAATATGCCTACCATATGACTACAAGAATAGTCATTGCTTTCTGGCTATGGTGAAAAACTACAGTGGATCCAAACAGTTTCACCATTGGTCTGACTTGGTCTGAAATATGGAATTTCTTAGAATCTAGACATTGTCAATTTGCTTCAAGGTAGACCAATCATGTAGTGCCTAAGAAGGAAAATTGTAGAGGCAAACATGAAAAAGACAAATACCGTCATATACAGCTATAGCCATAAGGTCCGACTCTTGCATCATATCAGTTCTAGGCTTAAACAGCTGTCATTCAAAAAAAGGGAATCATGAACCTAATAAAGGAAAATGATGCGTAGAGAGGGGAAAACACGGGATAGCAAAACTCACAGAAAGTAATACAGGAAAGAGTACCATAGACTGAAGTTAGGTATCCAAAACAAAGATGTCATGAGATAAAGGCATCACACAAATAAATTAGGTAAAGATATCTCCCCATGTAAAGAGCATGGGGACATATTTAACGGTATAGTACAAAACTATAAATGAGGGAATATGCAGCTTATTTAACTTTATCTTAGAAGGCTGATCATCACAAACTTCTTTTACACATTCCAATGCTCACTCAATATAGACATTGCGGACAAGTGCAGGCCAGGTAATTATGATGGGGAAACTGGAAAATGAGACCAAAGATGAGCATAGAGAACAAGTGCCATTAAAACCAAAACCTATGTGCTTGCTTAAGGTATGAAATTAGAAATACACAAAAGATCCTGCAGAAGACTTGGGAAAAAAAAAAAGCCCAGAAAATTTTATGCTCCCATGTCAAAACTCACTAGTGCCCCAGACTTTGAATAATACTTGCTGTTCTCTAAGTTTGTTAGATTGTACTGCTGTAGTACTGAAAAATCAGTGGGAAAAAAAGAAGTCAGTGTGCTGAGCCAACAATGAATAGAAGTCAGTTTAGTCTTTATCTGGTAGTTAACACAAGGGAAACTGACCTTACCTTGAAAGCACTATCAGAACATGCCATGGAAGTATAAAAGGAAATTTATGATGTTTTGCTGCTTTTGTAAAGGTTTTGGGAAGTTTCAGCCAGATGTACATCACTGAAAAATGCACTGTTGACTCAAAAAATCCAGAGTTTATATAACACTGTAGCTGAGAGAGAAAGCAACATTGTAATCTGATATTCAAACTTCATAGTATATCATCAAGGTACATTTTGTCTGTGAAACCATTTGATATTAAGTAGAAAGCACAACAAATGACAGTTTGGAATCTTCTAAATGGCATCTGGGTTAATGGAGCTTGTATGAACAATGTGATGTCTGTTAGCAATCTTTCTTTTAGAGAAAACCTTCAGAGCTTGATGGATGTTAAAAATAAAAATGATAAACGTTAAAAAAAACCAAAACAACCCAAAGTGCTAAAAATAGTGTCAGCAAAAACCAAAGTTGACAACTCATCTATTTTAACAACCAAACACTAGATCAAAGCTACCAGCACTGTATCAGTTTGTTGTAATGCTGGCTTCACTCATGCTCCTGGTCTTCCAGTCTCCACCATTTACTAGTTTGTTGTGTTGTGCATGGGCAACAGAAGAATAGCCTCCTTTGTAGATAAACTGGGGCTTGATGGGGTAATAGTTTACTTCTATCTCCTTTTCTTAGGATAAATGAGCCACCTGCCATGGAAACCACATTTTTCTTTTCCTTACTCAGGGAAGTACTCCACTGACTGCAGTGCACAGGGAAGCCTTGAGAAACCCTGTGTGATCCTCATAGCTGACAAAAACCAACCAGTAAGGCTTAATTTCTGTTTTAAGTAGTCAGGTTTTATCATTGCCATGTGTTGTACTATTACACCTGCATTTAGCTTCTCCACTCTGCAGTCTGTCTTCCTCTTCACTGTTCTTTCTTCTCTCTCCCCCCCGCCCTTTACTTTTTTGTTTTGTTTTCCTCTTTCCCCTGAAGAAAACAGAATGCCCATGTCTTATCCAAGTCATAGGAGTGCAAAAGAGAAAGCTGAAGGCTAGAGGAAACTGCTGGTCCTGTTCATCTGTGTCAGGAGAAGCTCCTGAAATTGGTTCCTTTGCTTCTGACACAGTTTTCAGTGGGTGCATGAGCAATAGAAGAGAAGTGGATAGGTTTTTAAATTTAGCAGATGGAAGAAGGAAGGTGGTATAAAATAAAACATTAAAAAGCCCTTACAGAAATTAATTGCCATTTCCAGTATTATTCATGATAGAGAAAAGCGAATGTGCACATCCACCAGAGATTGTGCAAGATGTGATGGATGATTAACTATCTTGCTCAACTGTAAAAGCCTGACACTTTAAAAAAGTTGCAGAAATGAATCACAGTGCACTTTAAAATTGAAAGAAGAGATAAATATTTAAAGTCAGTTGAATAGCCAAAACCACAAATGAGGAACTGTTGAGAATGATGTGCTTAGAGCACAGCTGCTTGAAGTAAGAGCTGAACACAATGGTGTATCTGCCGTGCATTGGCTGACAATCACCACATTATTCTTGATTCTGGTAAAATCAAAGTAAAAGCAGTAAGACAGAAAGTATCAGATGCATTGCTAGGTAGAGTCAGAGTCAGTGAACACAGCATCTATTCCTGGGAAAAAAGTATAAGAGAGTTTGTTCGTTGCTTTTTGTTTGTTTTTCATTTGCATTGATTATTCTCATTATATGTAATTGGAATGTGGAGTTTTTTACTTCTAAAGGCACAAACACCTTGCTTCAGAACCATAAATTTGTTTCTTTGCTGTTTGCTATTTTGCAAGATAATGATGGTTACATAAAGTTGTAGTTTTTTTTTTTTTGTTGTTTTGTTTTTTGGTTTGATTTGTTTGCTTTGTTTTTGAGACTTCCCAAAAGAACTAGACTTTCAGGTTTGCAATTGCATTGGCTCCCTCTGGTGGCATTCTGAAATGCTTTAGTTTTCAGTCCAGTAAAATTCGTTTGATAGCAGTTTGGGGTTACTATTTTATGTAATTATTATATTAAGAAAAGTCAAACAAATAGTCATATCTCTTAAATCCAATTCAGCTTACACAAAATCAGCTCATAAAATGAAATCCTGTCAATTTGGGTCAAAATGGCTGGAAAAAAAGATGATTCATTTCCCTTCCTTCACATTCTCTTAACTGAGTTCATGAATTGCATTTTGCTATTTTCTGTGTGTTTGGAAAGAAGTTACAACAGTGTCTTAACTATGGGACTGGCCTGTTTAACTTGGCAGCAAAAATCAGTCAGTCTCTTTCAGAAAGTTTTAATATGAGAATTTACAGTTTGAAATTAAGGCACTTGGCAGCTGTTGCCACTTGCATCCTGTCAGCCCTTGCCATAGCTGAACCAGATGTGCAGTTAATGCCTGTTTTTATCCATCTGTTATTAATATTGAATATAGAAAAGAGAGGAAAGAAAAGATAAAGAGGAGCAGGAAATGCAGAAGCAGTTCCATCATTTCCTCTGTTTAGGCATGTGGAAAGAACCCACATTTTGGGAATTTTGCAGAAGATGAAACTAAGCCTTTTCCTAGAGTTGGGCAATTTTGCAGTTGCCATTCTCAGTGTAGCAAGACTGAGAGGAAGAAAATTATTAAAGCTGCATCATCAAGGCATTCCAGTCCCCTATCTGTGCAGTGTAAGGCCTCATTTAGCAAACATGGTAGGTTTTCCAAGTGAGTGAACGTACCTGCCCCTTCTTTTACTTAATAATAATTGAGAGTTCAAGAACTACTGCCTGGTATTTCTTGGTCAGTGTCACTCTGCTCTGTGAACATTCTTGGGTTGATACACTGATATAGTTTTAATTACAGCACTTCAGAAACTACAAAATGAAGAAGACAGGGAAAAGTCCAGTCTTTCTGCAGATTAAGTGCTCACATTGGAAGAAATTGTGTAGGATATTCTGTTTAAATGGATGGAGAGCCCACGATCTTTTCTGACATAATTTATGTAAAAAGGTAAATGCTAAAGATAAGATAA